CCCAAGAGTGCCCCCCCCCCCCCCACTGCCCACCTTCACCTTGTGGCAGCGGAGACTGGCTGCAGCGCCCTCCTGTGACTGTAAACAGGACTGGCTGATAGAATGACAAGGATACAGTTTTTTTTTCTTCTCCTCAGATGAATTTTAATGATTCATTATTATCTAAGGTTACAAAGACAAACGAAAAACAAAACAAAACACCCAAATACTTGGGTTGGATTCATTTTTTAAATATAAAATTACTTAGAAAACACAAGTGCGACAACGATGACGACAGTTTGGTCATCAGTTCTGAAAAAGTGGGTGAAACAGAAAGGTCTGGAGGCTGTAGCCCAAGAAGGACTGATGGGTTCTGAGAATTAGCACGCCCACAAAAACAGGGAAATGAAGAACCTAGTCATCGCTGTCGGTTGATTTGAAGTGATCTTCGTCGATGGTGGAGAAGATGTGACCTTCGTTACTAAGAAACTCCACGGCCTGTCTGTGAAACGAACAAATGAAGTCACGTAAACACAGGCGTCAGTATGCTACAGTAAATATACATGTGTACCTACACACATATATATATTAATATATGCATATACATCTACATATATGTAGGTACTCACATATACATATATATAAATACACAATATACATATATGTGTATCTACATATACACATATATGAATACATATGCGTATATCTACACATATATTGTACATATATCTACATATACATATATGTACATTTTGGGGCAGTGGTGGCTTGGGCGTTAAGGAAGTGTGCAGTCTCACAATGACAAGTAGTTCACTTTCACATAAATAAATATATAATATACTGTGTATATATATATATATACACACACACATATATATACACACATATACATAAATACACATATACATAAATATATATACACACAAATATATACACATAAATATATATATATACACATACATATATAAACACATGCATACTTTTTAGTTTAGAGGAAGTTCCTTTCGTACGTGCGGTTTAGTTAAGTGAATTAAAAACGTCAGGTTTCATGAAGTCAGACTTACTTAATAATATTGATACTAATGCCGCTGAGTCTCTGCTTCAGGTCCTGAGTGCTGATGCCCTGAGGGTCTGGACAGCTTCTGATCAGACTCAGCACCTGGACAGAGGCGAGTATTTCAACACGTCAGTACCAGAGTTTGGTCAAACGTTACACCAAAATGTGAGGTCATTAAAACTCACCTGATTCTGACTGGCGGTTAACCCGTTGTTGACCATGTCGCTAGCGCCCGTGTAGCCACCTCCCATGTTCCCCGTGGTCATCCGTGACATGGGTGGAACTTTACTCAGCTCTCCACCTACACCGCCAACCTGGAAGAGAACCCAAACTTTACCATCTGTAGATACAATTTTTTTTAGACAGACAGACCAAATCTCAGAAACCTGAATGTCTCACCATGCCCTGTGGTTTACCCAGCATCATGTGTGCCTGGACGACCTCCAGCATGTGCGAGGTAATTTCATTCATGTCCTCTAGGGGTCTCAAGTTGAACGCCACGACCATCCTGTGGTTCTGAGACAGGGAGACGCAGGTCCACAAAGTTAGTCCAAGTTAGTCCGAGGCACAAGAGAAAACAATACACGCGGAGACACAGAGTACAGTCTGTCCACACATCTGGACATGTGTCAGTTTGGTGGACTGTCCAGATGAGACACAGATGGAACCAAGACTGCGCCTTAACTCACCAGGAAGGAGCGCAAACTTCCAGACACTTTGACATAGGTGCCTGGAGGGTGGACGGTGCAGTTCACTCTGGGATCCTTAACAAAAAAAAAACAATCCAAGAACGACATTAGTTTATTTAGTTATAGTATAATGTTAAATATTAACCATTTAATCCCAAGAATTACATTAGTTTATTTAGTTATAGTATAATACAGTATATTAGAAAAATATTAATATACAGTGAAATACAATTTGACAAAACACCACAAACATGAAGTTTTTGTGCATTTTTTCCACTTTCAGAATTCATCAGTTGGGCCGGATTCAACCCACTAGTGGACCAGTTGTGGCCCACGGGTCATATGTTTGACAACCCTGATTTAGAGCTTTAGCCCTGTTAGACAAGTTTCATCTGTTCATACCTAAATAAATGTTTTGGAAATGCTAACTGTTCTGTCTTCTGTTCTGTCATCACTGATGAACTTTTGTGTCCCTTGGACATTCTGCAGCTCTCACAGAAACTGTGTCGACACAACAGGAAGGACTCCACCCACCTCAGTGTCCATCCACTGCTTCACCTCTATGGGAGCACCCGTCATGTCGTCCACCTTGTACAGGACGTTGGTGATGGCCTTTTCTGTGGTCCTGATGACTCCCACTAAGGTGATCTAGGACACAGGACAGCAGCTGTTAACGATGACGACGACGGCAGCAGCATGTGGTCAATCCTCCCGTCACTCAGTTCAGGAACAGTTTTTCATTTTTTGCCCCCCTTTTTTCAGACCAGTTCAGATCAAATCCCACACTTCGACACGACACACAACAGATGATCTTGACCGAAAATCAACCACACTGGGTGTCCACCGTCTGGGTCCAGGACCCTCATGTTTTCCTTTGAAACACCTACTGCAACTGAACACCGTTAAAACCCCCACCTGGGCCAGTTCGACCTCTCCGACTTTAAAGGTCTCGTCCGACTGTGAAGCCGACCAGAGCTGAGACACCGTGCAGGGGATGATCTGTGACGGACGCGTTCTCTGCAGAACAACAAACAGAAGATTCATTAGAACTTGTCGCAGCCTGTAGATAAGAAGAAGAAGAAAAAAAAACAACTTAACAGTTGACACAAATATTGCAGTATTTACAGACCCCTTTTTTCTCTCCTCCCTGGGACATTGCAGGTGATGCAAAGCCTCCTGGAGACTGAGTGTAACCTCCACCCATGGACTCACTGTAGCCTCCTGCACAGAACACAACACGGTCCATGGTTAAGTATTTTTAAAATATCCAGTGTATAATAATGTTAGAAGATAATCCATTTTCAAACCAGCAGCAAAACTAGAAGGAATAACATAAAAAATGTTAAATCAGGTACATGTTTGAGTACATGTCAGTACTTTATGGCTGTTTTTAACTAAAGAAGATATGAAGCAATTTAACTCCTGTTACACTTAATGACGTCAACACGTAAACAAAGAAATGGATTGTCAGATTTCAAAACGTAACAATCTGATTTGTCTTGTTTTTTAAAAGCACAGGTTTTGACTTTTAATTACTGACAGTACATCAGTCTGTAGAGTATTTAAGAACAGGATGTTATTAATGTTATGTTAATGTAATTCTGTATTTTGAGGGTCTGTATGTGCGCAGTTCGGTTTGTTATGCCGTTGTTTTAGCAGTGTGTTATCACTTACAAGCACATTAACAGAACCCTGCACAAAGCTAACATTAGCAGCAGTCGGACAGCGCTCATCGTGTCATCAACAGACAGCGTTGTCTCTGCGTTAAACTCACCCTGGTTCCACATGTTGGCGGGTCGTGTGTACGTGAATAACTTCAAAGTTGGAGCAGTAACTGAAACTAGCAGCGTAGTGTGACAACAACACAGACAATTCTTCCTTGTGCTGTCCCGCGCCAAACTTAAGAAAGGCGCACGCGCAGAGCACAAGTCCCGCGAAATCTCACAATCCCCCAGAAAGCACTGGTGGTTGTTTCGATCCCGAGTTTAGTCTGTCAGGTATTAAGTACCGTCAAAATATAAACCGTATTACGCCTGTCACTCTATAGATTGGACATATACGTATTAAAATGCATAATTTAACAGAAATATATGTTAAATACAATGTGTAAAGAAGACCTTAACAGAAATGTTAAATGCTAATTATGTTAAATACAATGTGTAAAGAAGACGGAGGACAAACTTACAGAGCGACTAGCCTGACAGTCATAGCCCAGAAAAAAGTTTCCCATGCAACCTCGGAGCTCTGTTAAGTTCACGTCCCGTAGGAGAGATCTAATGTTGTGTGAGTGCGATGGAGGTTTAAACATAATCGAAATATCCTCGAGATTTTAAAAACGTGTAATTTTCAGAAAACAAACAAACAGTACGTTTTTCAGTTAAAAAAGAATACAGACACAGATAAAAGATTTAGAGATTTATATATTTAATTTACGAAAAGACATAAGAAGCACAAGTGTAATTGAACGCACCATATCTACGGACTGATACTTCTGTTTTATCCAATGTAGTTAATATTTTTTATTATAAAGTTATTTGGATATAATTAAATATAAAATCAAAATTTGATATATTTTTTTGTCATATAATTGTCAATAACACAGCTACTAATGTGCCGTACTTACAGTTAAGTAAAAAATAATATTAAAAATAAATATGAGACTGTACTGTATATTAGCGGAAAACGAGCAGCAAACCCTTTACATAAATATAAAACAATATTTTATATCACATTGTCTGTACAATATCAATATCAAGTTTTCCTAAATATGTTTTTATTAATGTATAAGCTGCCTTTAAATCCCTATTTACTCCTTGAGGGAGTGAGTAAATATGTCCCATCCCATCAAGATAAGCCGAGTCATATTCACTCAGGAGTTTTATGAACGCACCATCATTCGTGTGTAACATCAACACGTCAACAGCATGTCTGCGGTGACGCTGCTGTTGACCTGCCTGCTCCTCAGAGATGTCCATGCTCTGTCAGGTAAAACAAAATAATCATGCTTTTATTTTAACCCAAGTTGTTGTGATGCTAAAGTGTCATCATTTCTTAGGAAACTTCTGGCACATAACGGACCTGCACTGGGATCCAACCTACGAAGTGACCGAAGTTCCAGAGCGTGTCTGCGGTTCAAGCGGTGGCCTACCCGCTGCCGCTGCGGGGCCGTTTGGAGACTATGCCTGTGACTCACCGTGGCACCTGATCGACTCCTCTGTTAATGCCATGAAGGCTATTTTACCCGACCCGGACTTCATCGTGTGGACAGGGTCTGTACCAGGTTCCAAATGACCAGAATCTACACAATCGATGATTTAGTTTAGCTTTGTTGGTGACGGTACTGATTTCGATATTATCGCGTATCAGGATCGTAACCGTTCACTATGGGTGAATCGGAGATGATGTCACAGTTTGCGTGTACATGGTCCAGCCGTGGTGATGTTATATTGAGGGTCACACTTTGGTAGACTGGTTAGGTCATTTGCCTTACTTTGCAAAGGTCAGCAGTTTGAAACTGGTTGGAAGTTCCGCCCTACGATCCAAAATTACACAATTTATAGCCTATAATTCCGGTTAATTTTTTTAATTAACCACTAGCTACACTTTTCAGGTCCGGTTTTTGTGTCTTGCGTTACACATATTTATATGAATTCAAACCTCATTTAACTTTTTGTATTTGCAGATAAAGTTTTTTCTCAGTGTTTTTTTTTTGTACACGGACCGCGCTGTGACTCTTGTCTAACATATCTCTTTAAAACAAGTCTTAACTCTTTGAAAAGGTTGGACTTGGGACTTGGACTAGACTTGAGACAAGAGTCCTGTAATGATTGTCCTGATAAAAAGTAATAGTAATTACTTTTATTACTGCAATATCAGAAAATAAAATGCATGTAGTTTCCCTTTACTGAACTGTAGGTGGTGCTAAGTACATATTTTAATATATACGGGTGATTTTTTTAAATATATATTTCTTGTTAAATGGGTCATTTTTGAATGGTGGAAAGACAGCTTCAAAAACACGTAGCATGTAGCATGTTATCAGCGCATGTTACATTCAGCCTAGCAAATTAGCGTGTGCTAACATTGTGCTAGTACGTAGCATGTTATCAAAAATAAACACTGCTTCAGTTTTTTTTATTGGTGTTTTGTTACTGTTTAATTTATAAAATGTTACAAAAAAAATGTACACAGTAGTACCAATGTTTATTTTTACTCCCCAGAGATGACACACCACACGTACCCAACAAGGACTTGGGTGAAGAGAAGGTTCTGGACATTATGAGAAATCTGACTCACATCATCAAACGGGTCTTCCCAGGTTAGTGTTTGAAAATGTATTTGATATCAGAGATCACATGACCCAGGAAGTGGTTAGGAGACACCGTGCCACCGTACCACACACCGGTGGTCTTTACTTCCTGCAGACACTAAAGTTTACTCCGCTCTGGGAAACCACGATTACCATCCTAAGAGCCAACTTCCTGCCGGACCAAGTTACATCTACAACCAGACGGCTGAAATGTGGAGCGACTGGTTGGAGCCTGAGTCCAGAGAGTCCTTCAGAAAAGGTAAACAAAGGCTGTGGTTAAAAAAAAATCTTCATTATGTTGAATTGAATTCATTTAAACCAGTGGTCCCCGACCCTTTTTTTGTTACCAAGGACCGGTATCAGCCGCTACTCTGGACTGGTTATACCGTTATTCTGTTAGTATCAGATTCTGAATGACCTTTGACCTGTTGTTTTGAAACATTACCATATAATCTTTAAATGAAAATAGTACAGGATAAGTAAATTAGTAAAACTGAAGTACAGTTTTTCACCCTGTCCCACTGTGACCAATTGACCAACGGACCGGTACCGGTCCCTGGACCGGGGGTTGGGGACCCCTGATTCAAACTGTATCTTCTGCACAGGTGGGTTTTACACAGAGCGGCTGCTGAATCGAGGAGGTTTCAGGATTCTGGTCCTGAACACCAACCTCTACTACGATCAGAACCAGGTGGTGACAGACGCCGAGGACCCAGCGGGTCAGTTCAGCTGGGCTGACGGAGTTCTGACTGAAGCTGCCCAAAAAAAGGAGAAGGTCAGGGGTCACACGTTCACTCCACACTGACTGACAGACGGGACGACCCGGGACTGTCCATTTGTCTCTGCTGGTCCCTCACTGGTGTCTCCTACCAGGTGTACATCATTGGACACGTTCCTCCAGGGTTCTTTGAGAAGAAGAGAAGTAAGGCGTGGTTCAAGCCCCGGTTCAACCAGCGGTACATAGACCTGGTCCAGAAACATCACCCTGTCATCCTGGGCCAGTTCTTCGGCCATCACCACACCGACAGCTTCCGCATGTTCTACAGCTCAGATGGTACTGTGACAGTCACCTGGTCCACGGTGTCACTGTACTGGTCCACACCATGTGTTCTGACGACCCCGAGCCACAGCTGACTTGACTAGAATAGATTATTACTACTACTACTAGTAGTACTTCTATTACCATTATTGCTACAACCACTACTACAACAGCTATTACTACTAGTGTTATTACAACGACTACCATCCGTTATACTACAACTACTACTGCTACTACTACTACTAGTACTTCTATTACCATTATTACTACAACCACTACTACAACAGCTACTACTACTACTGTTATTACAACGACTACCATCCGTTATACTACAACTACTTATTATTACTCATGACTACTACTTGTACGAGTACTGGTACTTTTACTTGCACCATTATTAATACTGCTACTGCTTATTTTTACATACTGTATGAGTACTACTACTTCTGTATCTTTAATTATTACCATTTCTACTGCCACGACTTGTACTTCTACTGTTGCCATAATTTAAATTTTTTTTAATGCATATTACTATTACTACTTATTTTACTACTGGGACTACTTTATACTTCTAGTATTTCAGCAACAAAGTGTACAGTGTGTAGTAGACACAGTTTTTGGTACTGTTACCTTAAATACCAATTTTCATTCAAACAGTGAATTTTAATTATTTCAACTTATTAATAATGTGACAGGAGAAACACGCAGACGGGAACAAACTTTTTTCAACAGATTTTTATGTTTCAAACAAACTGTATTTTCATTTCACAGCAGACGTTTGTTGTTTCCTCCAGGCTCTCCCATCAGTACCATGTTCCTCAGCCCTGGTGTCACACCCTGGAAAACCACGCTCCCCGGAGTCGTGAATGGAGCAAACAATCCTGGGATTCGTGTGTTTGAATACGACACGCAGACTCTTCTGGTCAAAGTAAGTCAGAAACCTGCGCAGCGCGGCTTCACCGTCTGTTTCAGTTGTTATTCACTCAGCGCCTCAGAGTCGTGTGGTTTCTGTCTTTGTCTGAACACAGGATGTGGTGACCTACTATCTGAACCTAACCCATGCTAATGAGGCCTACGGGCGCTGGGAGAAAGAGTATCGCCTGACAGAGAGCTTCAGAGTGCCAGACGCCTCGCCGCCTTCCATGCACCAGGTGCTGGAACGCATGGCCAACGACCGGTGCTACCTGCAGAAGTACTACGAGTTCAACTCCGTCAGCTACGACCTGACAGAATGTGACGCAGACTGCCGCGTGGACCACGTGTGTGCAGCCAGAGAGGCGGACTTCGAAAGCTACGATATCTGCCTCAAAGAGGCCGGGGCGCCTGTCGTCGTGGGGGGGGCGCTGCTGCCCCTCCTGTCTGTGGCTCTGAGTCTGCTGTCAGCCCGGTGGTTCTGATCCGACGTCAGTGGTGAACAGATGAATCAGTGTCACTGCAGACAATCAGTGGACGTTCTAATGTCAGGAACGCTCAATCCTGCACTGCACATGCGACTCCTAGTGGTCTGTGGATGTAATGCAGGGTGGTTGATTTAACATTTGTAAAATATCTTTAAAGTTTTTATTTTATGTGTTTAAAAAAACTACAGATTGGTTAATTTAGATTAGATAAAATATCTTTAAAGTTTTTATTTTAAACTACAGATTGGTTAATTTAGATTAGTTTATTAGCGACAGGATGACACATTTACCTCATTTCTGGCAAACAGGTAACGATGATATACCCACTCCAGCCTGTAGGTGGCAGTGATGTATCCAAAGTTAATTTGTCAGCCAGAACAATATTAACAGACAGAAGGACAAGACCATATTGGTTGCCTTGTATGGCAGGGTTTTTTTTTTTTTTTTTTTTTTTTTCTGCGCCTTCCCCTGAAAAAGCTGTGCGTCCCCTGCAGGGACCTCAGCCTTTATGTTGGGAACCACAGTTGAAGTGTATTGTGTGTCCTCACTTTGAAGATAACGCTATCTTATCTGAACTCTGCATTGATTCCAGTCGTGTCGTATAGTTGAAGGAAATGTATTTTTATTTTTAATGACGGACAATAAACACGGAAGGTTCCAGAAATGACCGTCTGGACTTTGAGCTTTCATTACCGTAATACATTTATTACAGTCTTTAACGACACACTCATTTTCCATCCACTCCACTCATGACATGTCGGTGGGATTCACATGACAAGGACTTGTTTCGTGGACGTGAAGGGAGTCATGGCTGCTGCCAGGGCTGCGCTGTGGTCCAGGAAACTGATCTGAGAACAGGCCGGAGCCGACAGTTTGCCCTCCTTTATGAGGCTGCACAGGTCGTCCAGCATGGCTTTGAACGCAGCTCCGTCTGAGGAGAGAGGGAGAGGAAATGACACGACAAGATACACCGACGTACGATGACCTACATCGGCCTACGATGACCTACGACGACCTACAATGACCTACGATGACCTACGACGACCTACCGTTTGAATGAGCCCTCTTCCACTGTGGGACCCAGAACCCACGGATTTTTACATCCTTAAAAATGGGGGCGCTCTGCACAGAGTGGAAACATCAGAGTCAGACGTCAGTCAGACGTCAGTCAGACGTCAGATGTCAGATGTCAGATGATGAGCTGATGAATCGTGTGTCGGTCAGACGTGTGTCACTGATATCAGTGAGCTGATGAATCGTGTGTCGGTCAGACGTGTGTCACTGAACGTCTCACCACAGGAACGGTCACTGGCTGCTTGGACATTCCACCGTACGTCACCATGGAGCCCCCCCGTCTGGGAACATTAAAGCAGCAGTTTGAGTTGTTCTCACACACTGCACCTGGTCACACGTGTAAAGTGCTGAGTCAGCCGTCTCACTGTAGGTGACGGAGCAGTTCTGTCGCACTTCTGCCGCCAACTCCATTTAAGGCGAGTTTTGGCTTCGGGCATGTCTGTAAAAGAAGTCATTTAAATCATGTAAACCACACACCAAGCCCAGTAGGTGGCAGTAATGGGCCTAAAGTTCATTTATAATCCAGTAGAGGATGAACAGGATTCAGTGAGTGTCATCCTCACACAAGGACGTTTGATATTAGCAAGCAAAGAAACCAGAGCTAACGTTAGCTACAGCAGTCCTGGTACAGACACCAGAGCTAACGTTAGCTAACGCAGTCCTGGTACAGAACAACAGTGTCATCTTCTTGTATAAGTAACCGTACGTCCCACTGACCTTGAACAGCTCCTTGAGCGCCGGCTGTCGCAGCTCCTCCTCTTTGATCACATGCGTCGCTCCCATGGCCTTTAACCTGTCACTCAGGTGTGTGAACTCTGGCCTTTCAGACGGAGAGATTACAGTCATGAAACCAAACACACACACACACACACACACACACTGATGACACATTGTTAACCTGTCTCTGATGACATTGACAGTGTTCACTCCTCTGGCTGCAGCCAACTGTATCACAGCCTGGCCCACTCCACTGTTGGCTGCATTCTGGATCACGGTGTCACCTGTGTGGACAGATGAACATGATCAGAACCAGAGTCCAGAGCAGTCAGATTATCATAAATGACTCAAAAAAAAACATGACCTGCTTTCAGATCTTCAAAGTCCGACAGCATCCTGTAGGCCGTGCAGGGGTTCACACCCAGGGTGGCGGCCGACAGCAGGGGAATGGTATTTGGTAGTGAGACGACGTCGTCCTCTGACAGAACTGCGTCTGTCCTCCACGTCCCTGATCAGAGGAAGACACACACTGACCTCAGTCTGTCTCAACAATTTGTTTTATTGTCCAGAATTTTTTAATTATTTTTTTTGCTTTAACCTACCGAGACCAGCATCTTTCGGGATGACCCAGTCTCCTACTTTGACTGAGGTCACCCGGTCGCCCACCTCCACCACCTCGGCCACTCCTTCGTTGCCTCCAACAGCGGGGAGGTCAGGCAGTATGGCGTACGTACCTGGAAACACACACTGTCAGATAAATGATGGTCTGACTCTGTACAGCTGTTCACATTATACTATGAAGTATGTGTACTGGTGTGTACTGGTGTGTACTGTGATTTCACCTTGTATCATGTTGATATCAGACGGGTTGACAGGAGCTGCCAGGATTTTCACCTGGACGTCCTTTGACCCCAGGGGGGGCAAATCCATGTTCTTTAACCTGTCAATAAAAAAATGGATTGGATTTACCTCAGGTGTGTTACAGAAAACAAACAAACCAGATAAAAGAATTCATGAGTCAAATGTTCAATATTGATTAATAATTTTTCATGATCGTAATTTTCACGAGTTTAAATTATTTTATTTCCTGACGTTATTTTATCATTTAACATTTGAAGATTAAGATTTTCATTTTTTTGTAAATGAATTTATGATACATGTCAAGAAGCACTATTTTGACACCAGGTCACTTTCCCTAAAGTATTAAGAGAACTCCGACCCCTAGGGGATCTGTGGAGTTACTGCAGGTACTCCGTCAGTGACGTCTTCTATCTGAACGAGCATTTTCGTTTTAATGTTAGTGTTTTAAAATGAAAAGCTCAACTTCAATAACTTCAATAATAATCTACGTTGATATCGTCATTAGTATCGGTATCGTCCTGCAAAGATCGACGGTTTCAGCTTTAATTTTTAACGACAGGTGGATTTCATTAACAAATCTACGTCCAAATCAGAAGACATTCAACCAGGCGTCACGTTAAACGAAATCCAACGTGAATTTGTTTTCCTGTATCACCTACAGGTGACGTAATATAAAACATAATGTAAAGATAAGGTTCGAGTCCTTAAACACCGTGAATGACACACGATGACGTATTTAAAGCTGTTCAGACGACACTCTTACTGAACTACTTGAGTCGGTTCTCCGTGTCGTTCGTACACCAGTGCCCGACATGTTGGTGAGCAACGTCCGGCCGAGTGGGACCAGTGACGGCCGCTAGCATGCTCTGTCCGGCCGGTTGTTTTTAACAGACGGGCGGAAAATGTTGTCCTGACGCAGAGTCTGTGAAATGTGAGCATCCTGACTGAGTGTTAATAAATATTCTATTATTTAAATAGAAACAAAAAAAGGCTGCGAGCTTTTCTAGCATGTTCTCAGTGCGCCGCCATGTTGGAAAAAACATAAACAGAGAACAACGCCGCCAGTGGCAAGGAAGGGAACTTCGCCTCAGTACTGTCGTTCCAGTGACTTATATTATCTTAGATTAGATCAAATAAAATCAGATTAGATGACTCTTTGACACCAGGTCAAAACCAGAACCTAAACCTGGGAATACCTTTCAATTTTCAACCAAAAGTTGGGCAGAAATATATCTGAACCAAAATACCTTAAAATTCTCAACAAAAAGTTGGGCAGAAATCCATCTGAACCTAGAAATAAAACCAGTGTGAAAATCAAAATGTCTTTTAAAATGTCTTTCATTTTTTTTATCAGAAAAAAAAAATGGATCCAGAACAAATAATTTGAACAGGATTCCTTTGGAATTTGATTAAAATGTGACGTTTGTTTTCTCTGATTTTATGGATTAAATAAAAAAATCTGACCAAATCAAAGGTCACACAGGTCAACACCCTGACCAGTCTGAACTGGTTTCAGTCATTACCACACCAGCAGAAGTGACATCATTCTCATCTTATTGATGATCAATAATAATGTACAATAATAAAACCCATCTTTCATGATTATTGACATTTATTAGGAAATGGAGCAGATCTTCACATACATGAACATGATCACAGTAATACTCTGAAAAGCCACATGCTGCTCCTCACTGACAGACTAGTCATTCAATCATCTGATATGAAACACCTGGAGGTCGGCGGCAGTGGACGCTGAGACATTCATCAGGACGTAATGCATATTTATTTAAGGGAGAAATAAAAACAACAACTAATCATTAATTAACCCGATGGAATGGAGCGTGTGACGGTGATTCACACGTTACCCTGAGCTCAGCTCCACCGTCTCATCCCCGATTCTCTTCACGTGTATCTAAACCCGTCTAACACCCGACAAACCACTAAGACACAGCGCCGGCGGCTCAGAACTGTGGAGGACTGAAAAGTTTACAGGTCACACTGCAGGGGGCGCCCTAGTCCATGCACACGACAACACTGACAAACTCACAGGAAGTGATTCAACTACAGTCACAGTCTGAGGGTTATCGTCCAATCACGGTAGACTTCTCTGCACTGCACTCCCACACGTCACTCTTCTTTCTATCCTGAGTGTAGTTTCCTAACCATCCACCAGGGAAACCATGCAATTTCCCCCCCCAAAAAAAACCAGGTGAAGAAACAGAACCGTCTGTCAATTCATCCCTGACACATTCCTTACGTCGATTAAACTGATAGTCTGAAGTATCGGCTGTGTGTGTGTGTGTGTGTGTGTGTGGAGATGAGACCACCGCAGATTAAATACTACTAATCCCAGTACCTTTTACAATATTCTACTACAGCCCCATCTACATCAACGATTACACAGGTTAAAAAAAAGAAAAAAAAAGTACAACGATAGTGGAACGTTTTCTCCACATCACGGCAGGTCAGAGGTCACAGGTCACAGAGGTGAAAAACTAAAGATCACCACATCATCGTACTGAGTGCATTAAAAAAACAAAAAAAAAACAAGCTCATCGACCTGTACAGTTCAGAACGGAGTGAAGACCAAGACATTTAAAAAAAAACAAACAAAAAAAACTCTGTACTGCCGTTCCCTCGTGCCCATGAGCAATCATCACACTGTTTCTGTCCTAAAAAAAAAAAAAAAGAACTCCTCCAACTCTTTGGAGTCAATCTGAATCCGTTCCCTGAGTTTTCAGATCGACACCTTCCTGAGATGAGATGGAGAGAGGACGTAGAACCGACTGTGCGCAGGAGACGTACAGGAAAATGTAAAAAAATATACAGTCATATAAAAAAATACTAAACTTTTTCAAAAGACCTTTAACTGAAACTTAAAAAAAAAGAAGAAGAAATGAATGCATCTTACACGTGATTAGTGCAGAGTGACATTGCATTGACATTGGCATAGACAGATGTAAAATAAAAAAACACGGTTAAAGAAAAAAAATCTAACTCACAGTTCAAGTCCGCCCTGAGGAAACGATGTCATCAAACTATGGAGTATTTATATTTGGAACATAAGAACGTTTGGTGATTAAAGAGAATGATTTTCCAAGCACCTGAACAAGGTAAACCCAGCACCATGATCTGTTACCGACACAGAGCGCTGCCAAAAACGTTTTAGGTTTTTACCCATCGCATCTCCTTCTTTTCCTGAATTTAAAACAAATGTGGAGAACCAGAAGAACATTCTCGACAACATAAATGTTTACCAGGCATTCTGGATACTTAAAGATGACCTGGTGACACAGCTGTTTAAAAAAAAAAAAAAAAAAGAATTCTCCTCATGCCCCAATACCAGTCCGGGCCCCATTGATTGAGAACCCTTTGTTGCAAAGTTAGCTGAAAGACCGCAACCCTTATGTTTATGCTCTCTTCTGGTTTTCAACTTTTGATTTAAATATTTTAATTTTAAAAAAGCCTGCCCACAAGGGGGCGACAGAGACGCCCGTCCAAAACGTCTTCACAGCTCTGTGTATTCTCAGCTCACTTGTAGCGCTCAATGACATTTGGCAGTTTTTCAAACATTACTGGCTGATGGACTTGGACAGGAGAAGCCGCAGCACAACGGATGACAATAAATAAGTCGTATTTCTTTTCTTTAAAAAAAAGGCTTTAGAATAATCTCACATATATATTAATCGGGTGTATACGTCTTGTCAGCATCTCCTGTAAAATGGGAGTAAAATGCTGATTAGCTAGCTAGCTCTACATGCTCCTCTGCACAGGCTCGGTGTTCCTGAACCCTGTCCCTGCTGAGGCTCACGGGGAGGTAACGTCTTAAATAACTACCTACTGCAGTAACGCTTCGCACTGGATATTCACAAAAAAAAAAAAAAAAAAAAAGAAAAAAAAACACCGGCCTTCGCACTGGAAACATCAGGTCTGGTTCTGCCCCCTTTTATTCAAGTACACAGGTGAGCTAGCTGGACCAGGGTAGTACCTCAGTCCAGGTCAAGTATCCGGTCACGGCTTTACGTGTTCTGGATAAGAGGGTCCCACAGATTGGGATTCTTTCAAATCCATGTTGAGGTAGAGTAGCAGTCGTTCACACAGAGGCCACTAGGTGGAGCATATATGACCAAGAAACAAGCCACGGACTCATTGAAGAGTGAATTAAATGAAAGTAAAAAAAAAGGTTTCCACTGCAGGAAATGGTTCAAAAAAATAGAGAAAGTACCAGGAACTCAAAGGTTTCCGCTGCAGGAAAATGGTTCCAAAAAAATAGAGAAAGTACCAGGAACTGTTTAGTTCCTCTAGTAAATACCTAAAAACATCAGAGTGGAGCCTGAAGACCACGTCACTCCTGATTGGTGTACGTAGTCAATTCATCAGTTCAGAGAACCGTTGTCCAGAAGTGACTTTTAACAAAATGAAGACTTTTTTTGTGATAAAATCTGAAGAAAGAAGTTTTAAAAAAATAATCTCTACCACAGCAGAGATGAACTGTGATGTTGTATCTGTGACTGGAGAACAGTACCTGGTACTCAACGATTAACTACTGAGGTGAGAGCAGAGGGAGACGCTGTGGCCGACCACAGCCTCCACTCACCCTCGGTCTCTCTCACATTCAGTTAATTCACTCTTGAGGAGGTTCAACTCGTGGCTCCGACCTGTGTGAACGCTGTAGTGCAAAAAGGACTTGACTGAATCCCAATTCAAATCTGTCTTCACAGCCGTGTGATGAGTGTTCATTTGGTTACAGCGAGACTTTGGTTCAGCGGACCAGGTGTGTGGACCTGTCGGGAGGGTGGAGGGTGGACTGTGCAGTTCCACCAAAGAAACCCCCCCCCCAGGAATGGAATGACAAAAAAATAAAAAAAATAAAACAAACTACTGACCAAGGCTGGAAACCACCGTTGGTCTGACATTCATTTGGCCCCAGAAAGACTGGATGGTCAATTGCAATATTGACGGCCACCAACACACGGCCTGTGGCTGTGGTTGAAGAGTAGATACATTCTCATTATCAGTCTGAGCTGACGTCAGTGACGGAGGAACCGACTGTCAGACAGCGTTACAAGACTTCATGGTAAGGCAGCCAATGTAGAGAGGTATAACGCCCACACGGGGGCAGAGTATGTCGAATAGAGTAAAGATATTAGTGGGTAATCTGTTGCATTGGGTTGACTTGACTCTAATCACCACGTCCTTCAGAAACAGCAGTGACATCACATTAGAGAGTTTCCTGAGTGCAGTATCACACAGCAGAGTTTTACAGCAGAATTCCTGAGTGTTACAGCAACTGACGACAAACATAGGAAACAAAAAAAAAAGAGAAAACATTCTTCATGAGCAACATTTAAACCTGAGGTAGTTTCAAAAGCAGCTTCCATGGGCAGACGGGGGTCAGGAGCCCCCCCCCTCCTCCCGCCAAAGCAGTTTGATTGGCCCACGGCGTCACTGCCTCGCTCTTCCTCCTTCAGTTGGAGGTCTCGGGAGGCAGCGCGGGGTGGCTGTGCTCCTCGTCGTCCCCCCTCAAGGAGGAGGGGTTTCCCTGAGAGCCGGGCGAGGACTGTTGTGCTTTGATTGGACAGTTGGCAACCATGTGATCGATGCTTTGGCAGAAATGGCACTTCTTAGGCTGCGGCGGTAACTTGCACTCTTTGGCGTGGTGGTCCAGACCGCCACAGTTATAGCACCTACGAGAGGGGAGAAAAAATGGATATGGAGTGAGTCGATTTGATTAAGACTCTCCAACAGATGATGTTTATTTTATGGGGGTGGGGGCATGTCTGTGAAACTGCTCTTAATTAAATTTGGCTACACCTAAAAATAAATTCATCACCTGAGGCAGAGGTCTTCAACTAAAGGTCAAGATGGTGTGAGGTCATGGTCCGAGTTAGTTTTTTTATGACCACAGTTTAGAAAGTAGATGGCTAAAGTAAAAGGTATTCAATGACATCAGAACACTTATATCTAATGATTGACATTGGTTTTGTTGTTCGGTTTATTAAGATTGAAGTATGATGATGTAACGTCCTTTACTTTAACAAAAAATTCACGTGAAGTTCACATTTGTGAATTTCTAAACAAATGGCGTCTGTACAATAACAATTTTTAATTTTACCTGTCACGCTGTACGTACATTTCGCCAGTAGATGGCGGTATTGCACAAGAACATGCTCATTCGCCTTTTAAGCCTCCGAGGGCATTTAAGGTCACACCGTGTAGGTGTAAGAAGACCACACTCGAATCTTACAAAGCTGTACTTTTTGATATATTTTCAGTATTGACTTTATTTTAATTATTGACTTTCCTTGTTTAAGGTGTTTTGGAAAGAAAAATAATTTAATTTAATATGAAAACTGTGAGGTGTCGTGAGGACAAAAAATGTTTGAATTCAGAATATGGGAATAAAATGAAACCTTAAACCTCAGATGAATTTCCTAGAACTACATTCTGAAACTGTTCTAATGAGGAACGATCTCTGAGACCACTGGGGGCTCCAGGCTGCGTTCTGGTGACATATTCCCTCAGATGTTGTGAACAGCTTGTCCTATTTGTCAATATGTCACAGCCAAAAGCTTCCTTTTGTGAAGGACATCCGCTTCAGCAGCATTGAACTTTAGAAACGATCAGAGTGAGGGGTCAGTGGGAGCCGTCAGAGGTGCCACTGGTCACCTCTTCTCAACATAATCTATAGAATGACCACACGTGTGGGGGCTGAAGACAGATGGGAGGTGGGCGTTTGGTGGTCAGCGTGTGACACCGTGAGGACCCCCTGCCAATAACGCCACCTCTGGGTTTAGGAGAAGGAGCAGAGGGGAGTGAACGTGCAGCTGTAACTGCGTGGTTTGTCCTTCAGCGTCGACTCTATTTCTTGTGAGAAGCTTCATATGAACAGCCACAAGGATGTGGAGGTAAAAAGGGAAGTGGCCCCTTTGTATATAAAAAAAAAAAAAAAGCTGCAGTAATGACCCCTGAACCCTGACCCTCCTCAACACACACTCTCCTCAGTCCTCTAACCCCCAATCCCAGCCCCCAGCCCTCTCACATTTACTCATACTTTGTTGCCATGACAACACTGACCTTTCACCCCCTTGCCCAGGCTCTTGCATCTGTTATCAATTAAATGGACAGGAGGATTTTCTTCTTCTTCCTCACTCATACGCCTCTCAGCGATGGCAAACATCAAACAAAATCAGCACCGACTGCAGTCGGACCTGGTACCGTTTCCTGTTCCTGCGGCCGCTGCAGCCAAGATCCACCGCCGGTGCCGCAAAATAAAATATGCCGATCTGCGCTGCATCATTAAATATGCCAGAGGGGGAGCAATATCTTCAGTGCAGGCATCGGTGTGGTCCAGAGAGAATTCAGCAACAACAGCATGCCCCCCCCCCCGGTGATCTCTGTTCTCACACTGACTACTCTCTGGCTCTAATCACAACTGACAGCAGAGGTGAAGTTGATACACCTCTAACCCCGGTGCTGTGTCCGTACACAAAGAAAGGCACAGAACTGCAGACCCGCTCCTCTGATGTTTAAGACCCTCAAACGTAGAAGAAGGAGCTCGAAGCAGGTTTTTAACTGAGGTTTTTTTTTGTTTGTTTTCTTTGTCTGCACCACCAGAGATGTTTCTCCTCCAGTTATGTCACTCTGACAGCAGTGCTTTGACTATCCACAAAAAAAAATGCTATTGTTTAATGTTTGTTCTTCAAAGTGCAGTTTTTGAATTTAGAGAGAGACAGAGAGAGAGAGAGAGACAGAGAGAGAGAGAGAGAGAGAGAGAGTCAGTGAGTGTGAATTCACTTGGGGCCTGCAGATTTAAACAGTTATTGATCCAGGTCACTTATCAAGCCCACTGCTGTGACCCTTGCTTGAGCTAAGGATTGGGGGTCGGGGGAAGAGGAAGGATGTGGACATACTAAACCACCTTTTGTATATCTGACCAAACCAGGACACAGAACACAAACTGAAAACTGTCCCCTAACGCTCTCTGTTCACAAAAAGTCCAAATAAAATAAACCAAAGTCAAAATCAAACGAATCCCTTCAGTGTTGTTTTTTGGCAGTCACAGACAGGATTACTGAATTTTCCCAGCGTGGGATGAAAGTCTTATCTGTGACATCAGGAGGATTCTCTCAGTATTTAGTTGTTTTTTTTTCTTTTTATTTACCTCTGAAACACAGACCAGGCAGGTGGCAGTAAATGCGACTCTTTTACTAAAGCCCCCCCAAAGAAGGAGGAGGAGGAGGAGGACTGAGTGTTTCAGCTCCGGTGAAGGTGCTCAGTGTGTCATGCTCACCTGTCTCCCTTTGATCGTCTTTTCTGGTGTTTTTTGCCCTTGGGTCTTCGCTCACTGCCCACACAGTGGATGCCCCCAGGTCCTGTAACGCGCTGAGATTCCAGGCCTTTGGACGACTTCTTGAAGGTGAACTCCACAGCTTCGCCCTCCTTCAGGCTGCGGAAGCCTTCCATGTGCAACTTGCTCTGAAAGAAAACAAAAAACAAAGAAAGACTCAGTGTTTAACAGTGCAAAATTAAAATAGTTTCTTAAATAACATAAGACTGGAAAAAAATTTAAAATATTTAATTTCAAATTCAAACACATTTTAGAATTATATATTCTTCTAATGTGATTAGACTGATTTTCACTTGTAGAATTTGTTTAATTCTTACTGTGGACATAGAAAATGACTTGTTTTCTGCTTTGAAAAACACACCATTAATCGTAATGTTTATAATTTGTGTTTAGAAAATTTAGAATAGTAGAATTTTAAATGTTAAAAAGATCTACTAAAACATTGCTATAATACTAAGCGCTAGCAAATCGATAACACGCTACATGCCAATTTGTCGTTAATGTGTACGTTTGTTATTGCCTATGGACAAACAGGTTTATAAAACAATGTAAAGTGTTAGAACGGGTTTTCACGACATCTCGCGATATTAAACAACAAGGACAATCATCGTGTTGGCCAAGGCCAACGAAGCCTTATCCCGTTTCTGTTAGGATGGCTAACATTAGCATCGAAAACCTCCAGTCTTTGTAACGCCGTAATAACGATAAATAACAAAACAACAGACAAGATATCGGTGATTACTAGGCGTTAATACATTTTACCATACAAGGCAGAAGACAGTTCGTTTTCAACGGTTAAAAACCAAAACAAAATGGAGCTCGTTCCCGCCGAAGACTAGCAGTTTGACAGATGCGGTTAAATCA